TGATAGCTAGCAGCCCTAGCTCCCGTGGTGGATATTGCTTAGGTTCTTCTGGAAGTAAGAGATAGTTTCTCACAAGTAATTTCAAGGGAAGGAGGAGTTACTGAAGGACAGAAGTGGAGTTAAAGAGATGCGAAGCTGGGCACAGCGAAATACTCCTGCAAATTCAAGCCCAGCCTGGGCAACTCAGTGAGACCATCTCAAAATAAATAAAAAGGGCTGAGCGCATAGTTTGGTGGTAGAATGCTCCAGGCCCTGGGTTCAATGGGGGGTGGGGTGGCGGTGAATAGGCGCCATAAAGTAGCCAGATATTTAATTCAAGTACCTGAAAATGGAGGTTTTCTGGGGTTCAAAAGTCACTCCAGCATCCTCAGCAAGTAGTTTAAGGCTCCCACTCCAACGTCCTCTATTGACACCACCCTCCGGATTTTATGTGCCTGCTCCATGGCCCCTTTCTAGTGTGTGTACCCCTTGGCTTTGCTTCCCTCAGTTCAGTATTCCGTCTGTCTCTCGGCTAAAGGTGCCTTAAGCTTCTTTCTTACTCATCTCATAACCTTGAGGTTTACTCTTCAGGATCTTTAAGCACCTGCTCCTAAGTGTCTTGGTCTCCCCACAGTTTCAAGATCATTCTGAGGCAGAGAGAAAAACTGAGCAGCTCGACTCATCATTTTGAGCCAGCACAGATCATAGATGTTAGTCAGCCTGTGGTCACATGCTCTTGGAGCTGGTACCCACTTTCAACTTAACTGGTTAGGACAAGGATGGGGATTGAAGTCACATGTATAGAACATGGTCACCTATAGTTGTCCTTCTAAGCACTGCTACCTGTGAGGTAGCTTTCTTAGAAGGTACTTCTGAGATAGGTAAGTGTTTCAAGCATAATGTCCTCAGGTTAAACTCATTTTTGTGTCCCAAACCAGTCATATTTCCTTGCCTAGTTTTAGGAAGTCTTCTTTACCTTCTGCTTCTCTAGTCCCGTGGACCTGGGCATCTTCTAGTTACTTGGCTAGTTTCAGGAGGATTAGTCAAAGAAGGAAGAGAAGGGACAGGAGTCAACAGAAATGGGTTTTAGCAAGCTTCAGTCTTGCTCATTATAAGATCTGAGAAGAATCTTTTAGTTCCTCCTTTCTACTTTCTAGTCTGTGTGACTCTTCAGTGTCCCCTACCAGCCTTACCGAGTTGCCACACAGCTTTCCATCGGCTCCATCTCCTCTTCCTTGCCTAATGACCTGAGACTATGGGTGGAAAGTGGTCTCTCCACAGCCCCAGGCCAACCACAGTAATTCCATTCTCCTCGCCAGTGATGGCTTCAGCTTATGAAATGCCCAGGCTGCTGGCTTTTTGTCAGTTGTATCAGTGAAAGTGGGAGGGCTTCTGGGAAAGCCCAGACAAAAACTGATCCAGGAGGAGGAATTTCCCCTTTTGACTTTGGGTCAGGCGCACATCGCATCTCTGACAGGAGCAGAAAGACTATTTTGTTCCAAATCCTAACAGGTGGCTTTTGTCCATGTAAGTATACAAAAAAGATGAGGGTCCTTTGTCAAGAATTTCTGCTCTGGTGCAAGAAGTGAAGATTAAAAAGGAAGAGTTTCAGTTAAAAGATCTCTGTCATATCCTGTCACAAGCTGTCGGAACTGTGTTGTAATGTTTTTCTAAACTTTGCCTTATGAACTTGGTCTAGATCAATAGTCAGTAAAGCCAAACATTCACCTCAGTTTGACATTCAAATATGACCCTGCCTTCTACTTCCTTGGTCCATTGGACAGAGGGTCTTCTCTCATCTTTAATAACCCGTTAAGACTTTTGGAGCTGGGTTTACAATGGTAGTTTTTCTGTGTCCATGCTGCCCTCTGCTGGGATAAGGATGTGAACTGCAGGTGAGTGGACTTTGGGGGAACGGATAACTTTTTGGAGACCAGATTTCCCTCGGGGTCACTCTAGGCCACCATTCGCTAGAAATCCTCCAACCCGGCCTCAGAATGCAGGGTGGGAAGATTCCTGGGGAACACAGCTGCTTGGTTTAGAGGTTAGAAGTTAACTCGGTGTGGCAGTCTGAGTATCTTTATCTATGAATGGAGAGACGGGGAGACTTCATTTGTCTAGTGTTAGAAACACTTTCCCAGACAAACTCATCTTTAGCAATTGACAAAGTGTACCAATTTGCTGACAAGGGACCAGAAAGGATACAAAAGCGTGTGCTTTGGAGTATGGAAAGGGCACAAAAACTGGCAAATTATATAGTTGGAATACTCACACAAACATCTAGTTTAGGGGAAGCTCTTTTCTTCCTAAAGACTGCAATGTCAGGGCCAGGGATGTAGCTCGGTGGTAAAGCACCTGTCAGGATACATGAGACTCTGAGATCGATCCTTCCCCTCAAAGAAGATTGCAGTTTCATTACATATGGTAGTGAAAATGTCATAGTCTCCTCTGTTAGGACAGAGAAAACATGGATGGGATGAGGAAGGCAGGGACACTGGGTGTTAACTGAAGATTAAATCAATATATCTAGCAAACAAAAGATGAGGATACCTTGGTGGCTGCCAACAATAATGATAAAGTTTCATTTCTCAGGGATGGTGTCTAAGACCTGATTGATGTGGAGGCATAAACCATAGGCACATCAGCAAATGAGTTCTGACTTGAAACTTACTTAGCTGGGCCAGGGAGGTAGCTCAGCAGCACAGTACCTGCTTGGCAAGCGTGAGGTCCTGAGTTAGATCCCTGGTACAAAAAAGAAAGAAAGGAAGAAAAGAAAGAAAGAAAGAAAGAAAAAGAAAGAAAGAAAGAAAGAAAGACAGAAAGAAAGAAAGAAAGAAAGAGAAAGAGAGAGAGAGAAACTTATTTGGCTGCTTGGCACCAGGAATTTTCCCAAACAGCAAGTAATGCACATTGAATACAGTCCCTGACTCTCAACTCCTACAGTTTATGCCCTTCTTTTTTTTTCATCCAGTGTTTTCCTTTTGTGTAGAGGCCTTTTCCCAAAATTAAAATGACCAGGAATTCAATTTTTCCACATGAATTATTTTTTCAGATAACTGACATTTGCACCTTTAAGTGCCATAACTTTTCTTCATGCTGGGAATTGAAGCTTTGCACCTGCTAAGCACTCACTTTGCCACTGAGTTGTACCCCTAATCCCTTATTCTTAATTTTTTTCATTTCTTTTTGTATTAATACATGTTTGTAGGAAATAATGATTGGTTATAGGGAGTTGGTACATCTACATAGCAAATCTTGTTTGTATTTTCCTTTCCCTTCCCTCCTTCCCTTATTCTTAAATTTAAAAAGGATTTTATTGCCAGGTGTGGTGGTGCACACATGTAATCCCAACACTTGGGAGGCTGAGGCAGGAGGATTGCTGCGAGCTTGAGACCAGCCTGGGCTACATAGTGAGTTCCAGGTCAGTCTCAACTGCATAGTGAGACCCTGTCTAAACACCCCCCACAAAAGGATTTCATTTTGACAGACTCGTGAAGAGTTCCAATGATGCAGAAAAAAGGAGACTAAATATTAGTTTAAATCTCACTACCCAGATGAACAAATAGCCCTTATGAATACATACAAATGAGATTAGATGGATAGACAGGCAGCCAGATGAGACAGGAGGCAATACTTTTTCTGAAAATCTTGAGGTCAGATATATTTTGGAATGTTAAATTTAATAGATAATATGCTATGTATGCATAGGCATCATATTTGTTTAGGCTGTCAAGGCCCTGCCTCACGTACTCCATGCCCCTTCATTTATATCTATATTATATATATATATATATAATATATATATATATATATTTTAGTTTTTTGAAACAAGTTCTCTTTATTAATTTAGGCTGGCCTTGAACTCACCATGTAGCCCAGGCTGGTCTGGAACTTGGAGCAACCCTCCTGCCTCAGCTTCCTGAGTGCTGGGATTACAGGTGTGTGCCACCACGCCCAGCATGCCCCTTCATTTCTGTACGTTGTATCCCCAATAAAACACACACACACACACACACACACACACACACACACACACACAGTTGATTGGAAATAGAAGATTTGAAAAATGAAGCAGAAGCCAGGCATAGTGGTAACCCCATCACACTGGGAGGCTGAGGCAGGAGGGCTGCAAGTTCAAACCAAGCTGGGGCAATTTAGTGAGACCCTGTCTCAAAATAAAAAATAAAAATAAGAAGAAGGCCTGGGGGTATAGCTCAGATCAAAGGCCCTGCATCATTTAATCTCCAATTAAAAGAAAAAAAAAACAACAACAAAATAAAGAAGCAGTTAAGGCTACAGAACGAAGACAGGAAAAGAAAAGGCTACAAAGAAGTTGTGTGACAGGTATTTGGGGTCAGTTCAGGTAAGGGTGAAAGCGGACAAGAAATCCCCAAATAAATTATTTCAATATATAATTTTGCAACATAGATTTATCATTGTTCTGCCAATTTTGTTTGTTTTCTAAAACAATGTCTCACTGTGTAGTTCAGGCTCAAACTATCTGCAATCCCCCTGCCGCCTGGGCAATTTAGTGATTAACATTAACAGCTCTGCATTTTGTTATTACATAACATGGTAATGTATGATTTAAAATTTACTAAATAGTCTCAAATCTGCTTTTACACTTTACGTTTTGTTTCATAGCTTTTCCAGTAATGATACTACTGCAATGAAACCCTTTCCAACGAAATACTTGGTTGAAAATACTACAAGCAATTTAGTTCTTTCCAAGAATTGAGTATGCAAATCTTAATTGAGTCCAGGCTGGGTCCCAAATATTTCACTATTTATTAACCTATGTTTTGGCTTCAAAGTCTTTTTTTTTTTTTTTTAAACTCAACTCTGCCTAGAAATACTGGGTAGTGTTCCACTGCTTTCAGTGGTATTCGTTTCTCAATGAAGTACTGTATATTCAGCCCTATCTTTAAATCCAGCCGGGCGTGGAGGAACGTGCCTGTAATCCCAGCACTTGGGAGGCTGAGGCAGGAGGATCGTATAGAGTTTGAGGCCAAGCTAGCCTCAATTACACAGTGAAACCTTGTCTTTTAAAAATCTAATCAATTGATTGCATTAAACGAAAGCAAAATTTCCGAACCAGTACTTCTAATCAGAAGTCTTTGGCGAGTTCTCCCTGAGCATGCGCATAGGATCGCGTTTGATTAGGCTGTTGAGGCCCCGCCCCACGTACACCACACCCCTTCATTTCTGTACGTTTTACTCCGGCGTCGGACTTCGGCCGGAAGTGACGTAACCGCCGGAGGTGTCGTCTGTGTGTTCTGCGACTGGATTCACGGTGGTGCTGGGCCTGCGTCCGGAGAGCTGCCGCTATGTCTATCGAAATCGAGTCTTCAGAGTGAGTCCAGTGATCGTAGATGTTTGCGGCATGGAAGGGCCGGGAAGTTAATGGTGTGGGAAGAGGATCTTGAGAGGGAGGCATCCGAGGGTCTGGGAGTGGAGGGTCGTTTCCTTGCCAACAAAGAAACTTTTTGTCCACAGGAAGCGGCGAAGGGCTGGAGAAAGGCACATTTTGCGGACTTGACCCTTTGCCTTCCTCCGCCCAGTACTTCCTACCTAGTACCGTCAGTGCCTAGCCCCCGGGCCCTCCCCCACGCCCCATAGCCTGTGTTGGCGCCTGGGGGCTCCTTTTCCTTACAGTCCCAGTGCCTAGCACAACGTAGAGGCTTAGTTACTGCTTTAGGAATAAATGAACGATTAGCTGTCTTGTCGGGCCCGGTCTGGCTCCCAGTTAAACCAAAACTGCGTCGGTGAGTTCTGTGTGGCCCCAAAGGGTTGGCAGAATCTGGAGATGGTGTCAGAAGAATGATGGTTGGTGGTAGTGGGCGCGAGGCAGGGAAATGGTGAGTGACTGAAAAATGTGTTCAAGGGGTTTTTTTCAGGGCTACACCCTTCACCTCTCCCTACCAACACTTAATTAAATCAGCAAATATAAGAGTGTGTTCTGAATGTAAGGAAAAGAGGACCGGTCCTAGAGATCTCCTGTGGGAGAAAGGGAGTTTATTCGTTCAACAAATACTGAAATTTACCATGTGTCTTTCAAGATGTGGGGAATACAGTAGTGAAAACAGAAAGCTCTTCCTTTGTAGAATATATTTTTAAATTGGGAAATGCAAACAGTAGGCAAAAATAATAGGCAAAGTACTAAATATAACAGATGGTGGGAAGTGAGTAAAATAAAGCACAGATCCTGATAAAGAGTGCTGGAGGTTAAGATAACTAAGTCAGGGCAGGAGCTGCAAGGGACTTAATGCTTTTGGGGCCTGAATGATAGCTGTAAAGACTGTTCTCCCAGCTTTGACCCTGCCATAGCAGTAATATTTGCTGAATGTTCTTATTATCAATAGTAGATACTATTTACTATTTTCTATGCTAAGCATGCTATAGTGGCATAGTCAGCCCCCTTCCAATTCTCCAGGGTGGCATTTTTCTTAACAGAGGAGGAAACAGGCACAGAGAAGTTAACTGACTTGCCCAAAGGTCACACTAAGTGACTGAACTCTAATGAACTCTGAAGCTTTTAGCTCTTTATTATATTCTGTTTGGGGAGAGGGGAATCTCATTTGGGGAATGCAGAGTGGAATTCAGTGGAACTGTGCTAAGGAAAATAGTACCGTACTAGAATATTGGAGGTATAGGTCTCTGATAAAAGGGTCATGAGAGAAAAAGACTACTGCAGGTAGCAATACTCAACCCCCCCACCCCCTTTTTGGTACTGGGGATTGAACTCAAGACCTTGCACTCTTTAGGCACAATTTCTCTTCTTTCTTTCTTTTTTTTTTTTTTTTTTTTTTTTTTTTTTGAGACAGAGTCTCACTGTGTAGTTCCGACTGCCCTGGAACTCACTGTGTAGCCCAGGCTGGTCTTGAGCTCACAGCAATCCTCCTGCCTCAGCCTCCCAAGTGCTGGGATTACAGGTGTGTACCACTACACCCGACCACAATTTCCTTTTGAGGGTGTTTGCCTTTTTTTTTTTTTTTTTTAGGCAGGGTCTCACAATATATTCCTGGCTGGTCTCAAGCTCAATGCCTCCTGAGTGCAGGGATTACAGGCATGCACCACTGTGCCTGGCTTTGCAGGAGTTTTTAAGAGGGTATTTGCTTTCTCATCAGGGATGTAGCCACATTGGCAGTTCAAATCCTCATTTTTCCACTTATTATCTGGTATTTGGCCAAATCTTCATCTGTAAATTGGAGATAATAGTAATATCTACCTCATAGGGTTGTTTTGAGTAAATGAATAAAAGCAGATGTGATTTTGCAAATGAGACATAGTTTTATGCTTTTTTTATATATAGCTTCACTTGTGTTCAGCAAATTCTATGAAGAAAATATTAATTCACATTTTTTGTCATTTAAAAATGACAAAATCATCTTTCACTTATTGATGGTTTTATATCAGTGATTAGAATAGGTTTAAAACCTTTCATTAAAGTAAGTGATTTTATAGTCAGAAGATTTCATAAGAAGCTGAGTGGCTTAGGAGATAAAAGTTACATTGGTACCATCTCCTTTTCTGACCGAGACACTGGGAAAATGATTTCCCCACTCTGCACTCCAATTCTCCTGTCTCTAGATTGGTGGTGGTGGGGGGTCTTTGGAATTTAGATTTTGAGATTTTGGGCAAATTATTCACATGAAGAAATGGAAAATAGCTGGGTGTGGTGGGTGGTGGCGCACACCTGTAATCCCAGCACTCAGGAGGCTGAGGTAGGAAGATTGCTGTGAGTTCGAGGCCAACCTGGGCTACATACTGAGCACATGGCTGGCTTGAACTACATAGCCATTGAGATTCTGTCTTAAGAAATGGAAGGTAGTCAGCAGGAAAATGACTGAGTAGGAGAAATAAGCTGCGGTGGACCTTTCTTTTGACCCTTGGTGAGTGAAGATTCCTGAGCAGAATGACTTGCTTTCTTTCAGTGTGATCCGCCTTATTATGCAGTACCTGAAGGAGAACAGTTTACACCGGGCATTGGCTACCTTACAGGAAGAAACTACTGTGTCTCTGAATACCGTGGACAGTATTGAAAGTTTTGTGGCGGACATTAATAGTGGCCATTGGGATACTGTTTTACAGGCTATACAGTCACTGAAATTGCCAGACAAAACCCTTATTGATCTCTATGAACAGGTAAGAATGGTGGTAATGCTAGTAACCTCATGTTGGTTTATTGTTGGCTGGGTCCTTGACTGTTGCCTCCTCCCCTAAATCATCAGTGAAGCACCGTAGGACTATAATTGCCTGTAAAACTCATACCTGACAGTATTTTTATTTCTTTCCTGGAAAATCCAACATTTTCCCTAATTGAAGATTTTTGTTTGTTTGTTTGTTTGTTTGTTTGTTTTCCAGTGCTGGGGATTGAACTTGGGGAAATTATAAGTATAATGATACCTCAGTTTACGAACACATATTTGTAAATTGATTCCCAACCAAAAGCATTTAGAAAAATTGTATTTTTGTTTGCAAACTGCTTTGGATGATGAACACAAATGTGGCCATCTTTTCCAGAATCTAGAATGAATTAAGTTCATGAACTGAGAGACCACTGTATTTCTTAACTGATTTGATGTGCCGTGATTCATTTCTGGCTGAAAGTGCAGACCCCACAAGTACTCAGACCTCTCTATAAGGTTGCTTTTACTTCTGATACCAGCTTTAGTTTGGGCATGTGCAGGCTGCCCTCACTTTTGATTAACTGGCTACATATTTTAAGGTACAATGACCCACTTGGGTTTAGTAATTTGCTGGAATGACTCACAGTTCAGAAACGCTCTATCCTTATTACAGTTTAATTATCAAGGGTGTAGGTCAGGACCAGCTGAATGAAGAGACATGCAGGGCAAAGTCTGAGAGGGTCTTGAATGCAGGCAGAGCTGTGCTACCATCTCTGGAATTGGTGTGTGTCGCCTACCTGACATGTCAGTGTGTTCACCAACCAAGAAGTTCCCTTGGCATTTTTATTGGGATTTCATTAGGTAGACGTAACCAGTCCTTATCCTTAGCCATTGCCTTAGCACAAGCTCAAGTGTTTTTTTTTGTTTTTTTGTTTTTTTTTTGGTACTGGGGATTGAACTTTGGTCCTTGGGCTTGCAAGGCAGGCGGTGGAACCACTGAGCTAAATCCCTGGCCCAAGCTAAAGTGTGATTAAAGGGACTCAAAGAGATATTTGTTACTGGCAAAATCCCAGTGTTTTAGAAGCTCCAACCCACGATCCTAGGACAGAGATCAAATTATCATTAAACAATGTTGAGGAAACAAATGAAAAATAAAATATGAATCAATGAGAAAGAAATAACTATGGAGGGAGGAAAGAAGGGAGAGACCGACAGGTGAGGGAAAGGGGAGAACAGGTAGTTTTCTAGAAATTGTAGTATTGTTTGAAGTTAAAAAAATGGGAAATAGGTTTATTTCTTTATGACCCAGATAATTCAGTAATTCCCCTGCCCCCATCTTGGTAACTGGAGAAAGGTTTCTCTGGAACCCATGGAGGTATTCTTGCCTTTAGTTTTCTATATTTTGAACAAGAGACCTAAGAGGAGGAGAGCTTGGTAGATAAAAGTGAAAGGTGGAGTTTGAAGAATTGAAGTTGTTACTTATAGTTACTTCATTGTTTACCTGGAATTGCTAGTGAAAAGGAAAAGGGGCATTTCCCAATGTTGGAAATCATTTTGGTGGGCCATATCTATGTCAGAAATTTTAATGAAATAGGAATATTAATAAAGACAATTCAGTGGGATATCCATTTTCTTTCTGTTGTCCAGGTTGTTTTGGAGTTGATAGAGCTCCGTGAATTGGGTGCTGCCAGGTCACTTCTGAGACAGACTGACCCCATGATCATGTTAAAACAGACACAGCCGGAGCGGTATATTCATCTGGAGAACCTCCTGGCAAGGTCGTATTTTGATCCTCGTGAGGTACGACTGGTTACAAAAAGAAGCTTGTTAACTGAAAATATGCAATAATTAAAAACAAATAATTTCATTGGACACTTGGTAATTTTAATTTTTGTTTTGTTTTGTCTTTTTCCCCTGGTACTGGGGATTGGACTCAGAACCTTGTACTTGCAAGGCAGGCGCTGTGCCACTGAGCTAAATCCCTGGCCCTGATTTCGATTTAATTTTTGAGAAGGATGATTTCTGTTTATATATGTTGGATAAAATTTGCATATGTTAAAGAAAATAGTCTTGTTTTTCAGTTTTCTGAGTATGTTGAGAGTCTTCTCTACTATACACATTCCTAATTTTTTTTTCAAACTCACAGCCATCCTCCTGCCTCAGCCTCCTGAGTGTTGGGATTGCAGGGGTGCACCACCACACCTGGCTTACACACTCCTAATTTTGAGATTGTATGTTGGTAGTACAAAAGTGAAAAATTTTATTCTGATACTAATTCCACATTAGCCTAAGTACTTATCTCACTCTTAGGGGCTAACAGACTGCTAGTATGTTTGCTGAGTTTTTGTATCAGTAACAGTTTTCCCATCCACTTCCATCCCCAGATATTTGTGCCTTTGAGTGATTGATTATGCATACTGGTAACTGATAGTCTTTTATTCTTCTAAAACCTTGTACTTGTGTGTGTGTGTGTGTGTGTGTGTGTGTGTGTGTGTGTGTGTGTTTCTTTCCCATCTAATCTTTCACTTGTCAAAATAAAGGGAAGAAGAATTTAATAGGCATTGGGTAATATAAAGTTGATGTAAACTTAACAGAGACCAAGAGGATGAAGGAAAGGAGTTTAGATTACTAGAGCAGTGTTTATATTAGAGATGGTGAAGTGCTTTGGGGGGCTGGGTGTCATTTGATTGAAAGATGTTTTTAAAGAATATAAGAGTCCTTTGCTCCGTTAATTTTTGCAGAAACTGAATCAATTTAGTTTTTAAAAATGGCTTTCCACTTCTATCCATTTGCATCTCAAAAGTATTAGGTGGTAAAGAGGTGATGTCAGCCAATCCATGCTGTTATTTCTTGGCAATAATGCTACCTCATCTCCTTTTTTAGGCATACCCAGATGGAAGTAGTAAAGAGAAAAGAAGAGCAGCAATTGCCCAGGCCTTAGCTGGGGAAGTCAGTGTAGTGCCTCCATCTCGTCTCATGGCACTGCTGGGACAGGTAATTAAATGTCTGTGGAACTGAAATTACCTTGAACTCTCAATACGATTTTCTGTGTGTATATAATCTTTCTGTCTGAGCTAAAGAAATCAGGCAACTTAAGAACTGGGGATTACCTCTCGAGCTACTTGTACCAGCAGCTGTGGCCATGCCACTCTTCTTCTTTCCTGGGAGTCGCAGTTTCAGAGTAATGGTTAAGAACACGAGCTCTAGCTAGGCATCACAGCACATACCTTATAATCTCAGCACTTGGGGGGCTGAGTCAGGAAGATGGCTGTGAGTTTGAGACCAGACTAGTTTACAGAGTGATTCAAGGCCAGGCTGGACTGCAGAGTGATACCCTCTTGGGTTCACACCAGCAAACCCTCTTAGAAAGACAAATGAACAACAGAGAATATCTTTGCGGAGGGTCAAGGGGCTCCACTGAAGTGGAACCCTGAACTGACTCAGACACTCAGAATGATTCGGGAACAACAAAGGCATAGTGTTCTGAGTACAGATTTTTGCTTTAGGTAGGAGGCAGGCAAGCAAGGGAATGGTAACAGTTTGCTTGAATTTTATTTGTAAAAAAGGTTGAAAATGGAATCATTGTACACAAGGCCATTATCTGTCTTAATTTGTTTAGGGAGACCAGTGTGAGCAAAGCAGCTAAGGTAATGATAAATAACCTGAAAGGCAGTTCTTTCATGCTGTGCATGCTGTGTCATTTTTTAATAAGTGTCAAGGAGACATGTCCATATGAAAGGCCAGAAAAAGGGGGAGACATGAGTGACCTCTGTTTGTCAAATTTGACCAAATCTCAATCTTTGGAGATTAACCCCCAGTGGAGGGCCAGTGCATCCCCCGACTCTTGGCATGAGGAGCATTGTACATTTTGGGCCAGAATCTTTGTTAGAGCAAATATGTTAGAGCAAAATATTTGTGTAGGGCATGTGCCAGTTTTGGTGCAAAAGTTGATGAGATGAACTTTTATCAAAAAGAGAAAACAACCAAAGTATCAGCTGCTTTATTCCCTTTAGAAATGGGTCTAGGGAGTCTAGAATAAAAATGGAGATGGGTAATAAGAGGATGAGAGTGTGTCTGGACTAAGTTTTGTAGTTGTATGAAAAGTAAGAACACATATGGCATGATAGAAGTTTTGACATGGGTGGTTTCAATATTTTATATAGAATATATAGCATATTGAGAATCGGAGACTAGATTTAAAGGTCCTTGAGGAAAAGTTTGTAAAGGAAGTACAATGGCACCTAATTCTTGGCCTTTTGAGTGGAAGAGAATCTGCCTCTAATTTTAGAGAATCTGGCACGATATCAGCCTTTTCATTGTGCTTGGAGCCGTCAGTAAATGTGGTGCTCACCTATGGAATGGGGTTTAGTATGAACAACCTTAGAAAGGATGAAAGGAGTAATAGTTAAAAAGCGCAACAGCTCATCAGTGCACCAAGATCTAAGGATTTTTCTTGTAAAATTAGCTAGTGCACGTTGTAGTGACACAGGCTGTTGAAGCAAAGTTTTAAATTCCCCATGAGGAATGAGGTCTGATCGTAGTTGGATAATTAATTCTCTACCCATGACAATAAGAGAAGCTGTGAGCTTGGCATAAAGTGTGATGTTTTTATGGCCTCTATGGCTCAAAAAGATTTAAAAGGTTAATTATCTAATATGTCTAGTAGGTAAGCATGGAATGGAAAAAGAAATAGTTGAATAGGAGATTGTGGATCTATGTGATCCAGTTGATGTTGTTGACTAGCTTATTGTACTAGCTGTGACTCTTTTTTAGCTTTTGTAGTGAAGGTGTGAGGGGAGCACAAATGAGGATCACTGAAGAATATTAAGTAGGTGTGTCATTTGGTGAGTAGGAATCTCTAATCTGGGTTGGAGCCAATTAATATCACCTAGCATTTTCTGAAAATCATTTAAAATAGTCAATTGGTTTATCCTAATAGAGGGCTTTTGGGCCTTAATAGTATGCTCTTTTAAAATGTAACCCAAGCCGGGCATAGTGGTGCATGCCTATAATCCCAGTACCCGGGAGGCTGAGGCAGGAGGATCGCTGTGAGTTCGAGACCAGCCTGGGCTACATAGTGAGTTCCAGGTCAGTCTCAACTACATAGTGAGACCCTGTCTCAAAAAACTGAAAAAAAAAAAAAAAAAAAAAAAATGCATGCAATAAAAAAAAAAAAAATGTAACCCAAGTAATTCTAGGGGGAGGTTTTTTTTACTTCATCGGGTGTTATAATCAGCTGGAAACTTTGGACTTGTTTTAGCAGTTGATGGTATGGCTCTAAAAGCTCTATGGGTCTGTAGAATTCAACAAGATATCATCTATTTAATGAAAAATAATTGCTTGAGGCCACTGTTGTTTGATTGGTGTTAGTGCCTGAGCCACAAGAGTTTGCCATATTGTAGAACTATTAAGCATAGCCTGGGGCAGCACTTTTTTTTTTCTTTTTTTTGTTTGTTTGTTTGTTTTTTGGGTTTTTTTTTTTAGCACTTTCTAATGAAATCTCTGGGTGGGAGCTGAATCGTTGATAGAAGGAAGAGTGAAATCAAACCTTTCACAATCTTGAGAGGCCAAAGAAGTGGTAAAGAAAAGGGCAAGGGGATTAATAGCAGTGGCACCTGTGAAAAAGGTGGGTTATCTAGTGAAAAATCCCACTGTTGTAATAGTACTCTGGCCCAAAGATTTATAGGCATGTCAGTGATATATGGTTGGGTGAGCACTGTTTTAACCTCTGGGCCAGTCACAGAAATAATAGCACTCCTCAGATCATGAAAGGCTGGGTTCCAGCGCCTACCAACCCAGAGGAGGTTCTTTGGCTAGGCCAAGTTTGGCATCATTGTCTTTTTGCAACAATAGTAACATCTGATCTGGTGTCAACAGCCCTAGGAAGGTTTTATTTTTTATTTGAACAGAGTAGGTCAGGAGGCTGTATGGGCTGTGCCCAGTAGACCCCTGAACTCCCCTCATCTTTTCTTTTCTTTCTTCTCTTTTTGGTACCAGGGATTGAACTTGGGTCCTTGCACTTGCAAGGCAGGTGGCGAAAGCATTGAGCTAAATCCCTGGTCCACTCTCACTTTTCTTTAGACAGAGGAACCCAGTATGGCAAGAGGAGGAGTTGAGCAGTTTTCATTTTAGAAGTAAAAATTTGGATTCCCTTTCCCTGCATTGATACCATAATTTCCCCTTGATAATCTGCATCTACAACGCCTGGAATCACCGTTACCCTCAAGCATTTATTTAGTCTAAATTTTCTCAAAAGTGTTTCCTACATAACAGCACAGTTTGTAATAGCTAAATCTTGGAAACAGCCCATTTGCCCATCCGTTGGAAACTGGATAAAGAAAATGTGGTTTTTCTATAAAATGGAATATTACTCAGCCCTAAAGAATGAGAAAATAGATTCAGTCATAGGAAAATGGATACATATTGAAGATATACTCCTAAGTGAAATAAATAAGGCACACATGTGTAAATACCAAATAGTTTCCCTGGTGTGAATAATCTGCAATAATACATAAGATCCTAGTAAGATTACTGTCATTTAGAAATGGGAAGAAAGGAGCTAAAGGTGTAGGGAAGGTGGGATGGATAGGGGAATGGTAGTAAGGGAAAAGAAAAAAATGTGAGATAATGAAAAGATGAAAATAAAGTGTTTGTAGATGGGGAGGGGAGGAGGGGGTGAAGGGAGGGCAGGGCTAAGGGGAAAAAATGAGAATCAAGACTTGTCATGTAGAGGTACAAGATCCCAACAATGAATGTAACTGTACTGTATCCCTAAAATGTACCAATAAACTCAATTAAAGCTGAAAAAGAAAAAAAAAAAGGTGTTTCCTACAGTTTTGGTTGGAAGGAGTCCAAAGACTTTCCTGGGACCTTTTGGGGGATCCTTTCCTCTAACAGATTCACTTTTGTTGAACTTTTATCTATCTATCCGTCTGTCTGTCTGTCTGTCTGTATGTCTGTCTATCTATCTATCTATCATCTATCTTTTATTTTAGTGAGTAAGTCTAATCTGGTGCTTCTCCAAGTGTTGGCCAGAGGGAAAGGATGATTGTTTTCCCATCTGATTGTAGGCCATCACCCCTGGTTATATGTGGGCTAGGCCCCATTGAGAGTTTATCCAAGAGAAAAGAGGGTTGCTGTGCTTACCATGGCATTGATTAGCCCAGTGGTTCCCTTTTTTTGCAATGAGGGAGCTGGCAAAGGCCCAGGCCCTGAGAAGTATTAATTGGCACAGTAAGCGAAGATCCCCCTCTTCTGTTTGCAATCCTTTTTAAGGTACTGAGTGTGCTGCTGATTACCATGCTCATCACTTGGTTCAAATGGGAACCCTTCTGGCGAAATTAGAACAAATGTTCACTCTAGGTAGAATCCAAGCTCTTATTTACCAGCTATCTGGTCTTGGCAAATTACTTTACTTTTCTGATCCCATTTAATTATTGTGGTGTTACTGTATTAAATGAGATGATTCTTACGAAGCACCTTATATATTGCCTGGCATCTTGGCAGCTGCTGGTTGCTGGTGATTTTTTTATTTAGTATTTTCAACATTGGCATTATTATAAAGCTAGCTAGGAAAATGAATGTTTTATAAATAACACCAGGGCACAAGTGAACAATAGGAATTATTTTTGTTCAAAATTGACATTTAGAAAGGACCATTTTGTGATAGGCTTAAGGTGATTTTTTTTTTTCTTTTTTTGAGTGGCACTGGGGATTAAACCCAGGACCTTACATGTGCTAATGAAGTACTCTTCCACTGATTACACTCCCAACCCTACCTTTGTAATGAGATTCAAAATAGGCTTTTTAAATTTTATTTTTTAATTGACACATAAAAATTGTACATATTTATGGGTTATTGTGTGGTGTTTTGGTACATGCGTGCATTTATGTAATGTTCAAATCAGTGTAAGCGTATCTGTGGAAGCATTTATTGTTGCCTGTAATGAAACTTGCAAAACATTTCTTCTAGCTTTTTTGAAATGCACAGTACACTGTCATTATAGTCGCCACATTGTCCAGTAGAACATTGGAATTTGTTTTCCTTTTTAATTGCTTTTTATTGAATTAACTGTTTTTTTTTCTTTTTAACAGAATAATGTATATAGTTTAAATAATACTTCAGGACCCACACTGGAAAATAGTGCTGCCCTGTACTGCCCGTTTTCATCTTTGATTCTTCCACAATCATTTTCAATTCTCCTGACACTTCTGGAGCTGAATACTATATTATGCTATAATTGCTAGACTCTTCTGTTTCTTTGGTAGGCCCTGGCTGTTTTCTTCTTTGGGAGATTATATATTTCACACCTATGCTCCACTATATGCCACCTTCTTCTCTTGGATTTTCAGTATAATTGTATCACCACTTTTGGTTAAATCAGCATTCAGTGTTTGAATAATTATTTACATAAATATTCATAATTAAAAAGTAATCATTTAATTTTTTAACAATTTTATGAATTACAATAGCTGTATTTTTTACTTTTGTCTAATTTTCTCTGCACATCTACTAATTTAGCCTGAATCTTCTTATGAGAATTGTAAAAAGTCCTTTTTTTCCTTCTTTTCTCATCCTCTTCTGGATGGCCTATTTGTTGCTATCAGAATTAGTTTTCTTGGATTGCCACATACTGCAGTTATTGGGACTTTTTTCACTGGGAATTTTTGGCCTCTTAGGTCATATTTTGTAGTTGTCTGTTTCCTTCTTTTATATCTTAGACCTTTATTTTGATAGAATAACAAGTCTAGTACCTTCCTAAGAAAGGGTGGTGCATGGAGGTAAATTTTTTTTTTTTAAAGTTTTGAGAAGAAGGTGTCCCTCTGCTGCCCAGGTCGGTTTTGAACTTGTTGCCTCAAGCAATCCTCTTTCAGCCTCCCAGGTAGCTGGGAAGAAGTAAATTTTTAAGATTTTACTCAGACCTGTAATTTCTCCTCTTTCTATTCAGTTTTTAATTGGTAAATTATATTTATAAATTAAATTTTTTCAGTTTTTAATTGGTTAAATGTGAGAAGAGAGGCATTGGTTCTTGGTTGGCTTTTTAGGTTTCTAGCTTGTGACTTGGTGAAGCACTTTGGTTGGGGGTTGGTGGTAGAAATTGGCAAATATACCCTATTAAGTAAACTGACGCATCCATTAGATGACATATTTTACAATTATTAAGTGATAATCAGGGCAGAATGTGATATGATAAAAGGTGAAAAAAACCAAAATTTTAACATAATAGTGCAACTACTAATAGGGCAGTTAAGCCCTTTATAAAAGGGGAGAAAAGATGAATGTAGGGTATATGAAACAGTGGCTGGGGCCAGGATTTAGCTTGGTGGTGCCATTGCCTACCTCAAAAGTGCAAGGTCTCAAGTTCAATCCCTGGTACCAAAAAAACCAAATCAAACCCCCCAAAAAACCAAACAGTGGCTGTGTTTGAGTATTAGAACTATGAGAACTTTTGTTTTTCAAATTTTATGATAAAAGAGCTATACCTCTAAGGAAAATATGGGATATATAGACTTCTTGGACCTCCTGCTTTAAAATCAACCTGTATTCTTAAACATAGCCTGTTTTTTTTTTTTTTTTGGTACTGGGGAATTGAACTCTAAGACCTTGTGCTTACGAGGCAGGCAGTGGAACCACTGAGCTAAATCCCCGGCACAGCCTGTGTCTTTATGTTGTGTTTGGGTGGGCAAAGATGGCTGGCATCTGGAAAGCTCACTACTTCCTCTGAACCATATCTTCTTAGGCTTGGTTTTGTCTGAACAGTCATGTCCAGGTCTTAAAAGCACCTGAGCAGATTGCTATACTTTTCTTTTTTCATAGGCACTGAAGTGGCAACAGCACCAGGGATTGCTTCCTCCTGGTATGACCATAGATTTGTTTCGAGGCAAAGCTGCTGTCAAAGATGTGGAAGAAGAAAAGTTTCCTACACAGCTGAGCAGGCATATTAAGGTAGGATCCTTAGACTTTTAGCCAGCTGGTAAGCATTTCTTGGACTCCTCATGGGCTCAGCCTGGCCTTGTGACAGAAGCTTGGGTACTGGAGAGAACTCCTTTTCTAGCTCTGACAACTCAGAATTGCTGTTAGTATCCTTTGGAGTACTGTTGTGACCTAGCAGCATAGCTCAGATGTCTGACCAGTTACACATATACTTGACATCGGGTCTATCACCTGCCATCCATTTCCTCTCAAGATGGCTCCATTTGGAGAAATGGTTAACTCTTTGGTTAAACTTGGGGACTAACTGTAAATTTTCTGTATACTTGCGTTTGTGTTTTGCCTGCTGTATGTTAGTCAAAATGCCAGGCATGGGTTTTAAAGTATATGATAACTTATGTGCTATTTAAGGAAGATGATTTTTATCATCTTGTGACTTACTCTGTTTTGAGGGTGTGGAGATGCTGAAGGTTAAACCTAGGGCCTCACATAATACTGGGCAAACACTAGCATTGAATCACATCCCTAGTCCTTATTTTTAAACTTTAATCTGAGATTTTTCTAGGAAAAAGAAAAAATAATCGCTACAGTTTCCAGAATTATATTTGCTACTTTGTCACCTTGTATCACAGTGTCTCTGGATTTGTGTTCCAGTTGAACTCACAGGTTTTTAAATATTTCATATTCCTCAGATTTTTTACTGTAGTGTTTTTTTTTTTTTTTTTCTCTGAGACAGGGTCTTGCTTTGTAGTTCAGGCTGGCCCTGAATTATGTAGCCCAGTCTGACCTTGAACTCGCTGTGATCCTCTTTTCCTCGGCCTCCCAGGTGCTGAGATTATAGGCTTGCACATATCTGGCTATTTTTGATTTTTTGTTTGAGACAGGGTCTACTGTGTAGTTCAGGCTGGTCTTGAACTCATTATGTAGCCCAGGCTGGCCTGAATTCATGGCATTCCTCCTGCCTTAACCTCCCAGGTGCTGAGATTACAGGCATACGCCACTATGCCTGTCTAGTGTAGCATTTTAAGTTCATCTTTTGTGGATTGTATGTTCTAAATTGCATATAATATTTTTGAGCATATCCCTAATTTACCCTGTCTGAAACTTCCAGCTGAGTAGAAATCCATAATAATTATGCTATAAGGCTAAGCTTCTATGGTATAAATGCTTTCTGTTTTTGGCATTGGAAATGAAGTCTACATTAGAACTTTATTCTTCATCTCTAATTTTCTTTAGTTTTCATATATTATTAGGAATGTCATCACTGGTAAATGGTCAGTCATCTTTAATTAGTCCTTGATTTGAACAGTCACACATTATCAAAAGTGATGAAAGTTTGTTTATAGAACTGTGTAGGAAAATAAACTTTGAGAATATGATCCCTTCCATGCACAACAGGAATGTATTAGGCCACAGTGAGTGTGAAAGTCATGTTAATAATTGTAGTTGATTGTAGCAAAACCTTAGTTTGAGGTAGACAGAAAGCTGGTCAGAAAAAACATTCACTAGCACCTTGTGTCCTGGTGAAGAAACACTCCTCCAGTACATAGGCTGGCTCTGACTTCATGTAAGGACAGGATTTCTAAAAAAATTGCAATAGGAATTGTTTCAAGGACAGTAGATAAAAATGCTTTTGTTTCATTTCATTTGAAACAGTTTGGTCAGAAATCACATGTGGAGTGTGCACGATTTTCTCCAGATGGTCAGTATTTGGTTACTGGGTCTGTTGATGGATTCATTGAAGTATGGAACTTTACTACTGGAAAAATCAGGAAGGTAAAGTATTTTAAATATTTTAGCCTTCCCATGGAAAGAATTACTGACTTTGAATTTCTTGTCTATGCCTTATTTATAAGATTATCTGAAGAAGGATCTGTATGTCAGAATATGCATTACTTTTGTAATTTAAAAACCCAGATAACCTGATTAGTAACAAAGGGAATACCTTTATTTTCTAAATTTTAAATCAGTTTTATGATTCATATTTAAATGTGTGTTATTTTGAATGGGTAATAGTATAATAGTATTAAAAATAGATGAAATCTTTTTTTTTTTTTTTTTGAGACAGGGTCTCACTGTGTAGTTGAGTCTGACCTGGAACTCACTATGTAGCCCAGGCTGGTCTTGAACTCCCAGCGATCCTCCTGCCTCAGCCTCCCGAGTGCTGGGATTATAGGCGTGCGCCACCACGCCTGGCTGGAAATCTATTCTGTTTGTGATGCAAAAATCAGATTTAGTTGGCCCATAAAATGTACAACTTATCACCATAAGCAGATGATTAATTACCTCTTCCTCTTTATTTGTACTGCCAGCCCTGGAAAATCTCAGTTTAGAAGTATTTCTTGATATTTTTAACAAATTTACTGTGTTTAGGGCCAGGGATTTAGCTCAGTGGCACCGTGCCTCCCTGGCAAGTGCAAGGTCCTGAGTTTGATCCCTGGTACCAAAAAAAAAAAAAATTACTGTGTCTACATGTCTTATGTTCAGACTTAAATAATTTTATAACTTTATATTGTGTCCCAAATTATGGAAATAGATAGTTCTCTTTATATTTTAGATTTGAAAAATAATGTCCCATTCTTTGTTTTTTAAAAGGGATTCTAGAATAATTTTGTGATGTTCCTAGTTGGGTCACTGGTATTATAAATATAGTAGTATTAAGGATATACTTTGAACTGTTCATGGCATAGCACATCATCAAATCTAAGTCTGCACTTTATTCTCTGTATATGCAGATCATGTTCCTAATTGTTTTCTTTTGGGTTTTTGAGACAGGATCTTTCTGTACAATTCAGGTGAACCTTGAACTCACTCTGTATCCCAGGCTGGCCTTGAACTTATGGTGATCTTCCTGCCTCAGGCTCCCATGTGCCAAAATGCCTATCAGATTTTGTTTATGAGAAGTATTTTTTAACGTTACTGATTTTTAAAGAAGATATTGGTAATATTTTATAGAGATAGATATATAAGTGCTTGGCAGGATATGAATATTTCTAAGTGCTTATAGAATCCTTTCTTTGCAATGGTGAGTGAGGAAACTGCTGTCATTTCTTTTAGGATCTTAAGTACCAGGCCCAGGATAACTTCATGATGATGGATGATGCTGTTCTCTGCATGTGTTTCAGCAGAGATACAGAAATGTTAGCAACTGGTGCCCAAGATGGAAAAATCAAGGTATGGATTAATGACACGAGCCCTTATATGTAGATATTTTGAGAAGTCTGTAATGGGCAATGTCTTATACATGATATTCGGCATAGTAATAGCTGTTGTTATCAAACATCAACTTTTTGCTTATCACTATTTTTCCATATTTAATCCTGATAATAACTCTGACTAGGATAGTTCATTGACATGCTTAAGGTCACAACAGTTGGTGAGTGATAGATCTGGAACTTCAGATCTGTTCTATCACTGCCTCACTATGCATGGTATATTGTACTGTGATTTTTAAGGGAATAATGTGTAGCCAATTAGGTGTGGTTTGTATGTAAGTGCTGGTAATATATCTGGGGCTATATAAAATACAGAAATGGTCTCTGCTAAATGAACTTAGTGTCTAAATTTTGTTTTAATAATTTATAAGGAAAGAGTTTTCAGTTTGAAAGGATTCAGTTATCATTGTACTATGTGGACCAAACATATCATATTCAGCTGTTAGCATGCATTTTTAATGCTGTTTTGGTACATCAGTGAACATTGCATCTTACTTGGCTCTGTGGGCTATAGAGGGACACTGTATTTACAAGTTTTTATCAATTTTTAAAATAAAGGTCTGGAAGATTCAGAGTGGACAGTGTTTAAGGAGATTTGAAAGAGCACACAGTAAAGGTGTCACCTGTCTGAGCTTTTCTAAGGACAGCAGTCAGATCCTTAGTGCTTCCTTTGACCAGACAATTAGGTAAGTAAGGCTTGCACAAATACCCTCACTTGGGTTTGATATAAGGAGGCCCCAGAGGGAGGAGGCACTGGTAATTGTTTATGTCTTCACTAGGATGAGGTGCTATGGAGAGAGAGAGGATAAATGAAACCTCATGTGCCCAAAGTACGCATGTACAAAGTACAAAGTACAGCAAACAGTACTATTCTTTGGTCCATTTGAGTCTTTCCCCAGAAGAGAGGTTCAAAAGGAAATAAGAAGGGATTCATGTTTCCCAAAGTATGGTCTGTGGTCCCAGCTGTATCATAATCATTTTAAAGGAACAAGGCCCTTGCAAGTAAGATTCCTGGGACCCAGCTGAGACCCAGTGATTCTGAATCTCTTGTTTACCAGTGTTTTGGAGGTCCAATCCCGAGGAGAAGCTTGTATCAGTGACGTTTTTTCTTTTTGTTTTTTGTTTTTGGTGTTTTTTTTTTTTGGTCCCGGGATAGAACTTGATCCTTGTGCTTTCGAGGCAGGCGCGGGAACCACTGAGCTAAATCCCCGGCCCTCAGTGACACTTTTATGCAGTCTCTTTCTGTGCAGATTTTTTGGGTTTTGTTTCATTGATCTAGTTACAGTTATATCGCATACACAATTGCATAGCCTTTTTTCTTCATTTAATGTTATCATTTGAGCTTCTAAAATTCACCCAAAATACACTCAACCTTTGGCCTCAACCGTAACATTTTTAATATTAATTGTTCTTTTCATTTGCTTTTATTTGTGAAAGAATTCATGGTTTAAAATCTGGGAAAACCCTGAAGGAATTTCGTGGTCATTCCTCCTTTGTTAATGAAGCAACATTTACGCAAGATGGACATTATATTATTAGTGCATCCTCTGATGGCACTGTAAAGGTTAAGTATTTTCTGTTGGTTCATTTGTGATGCTTGTCTTATTTTTGTTCTTTGAGGAGATTGCAGTAGTGATGTTGTTGATGATTATGGTGGAATAAACCCTTTTGCTAGTGAGGTATATCTGAGACAAGATTAATATTCTGTGGGTAATCTGTTGGTTTGATGACCCCAAATGTCAAACCTATATAATACAAACAAACTTCATCATGTGTAGAGAAAATGTGTTCAGTCTCAAACATACATGATCCCCTACTGACAGATACAGTGGTTAAATTTTATCTTGCCGTAACTATGGCCTACTAACAGTCACCTCCATGAAAGGCTCAGTGGCCAAATAGATACATTTTTTTTTGCCTTACCCCACCCTGGCCCCAAAATTTAGGGCCTTCCTAGGAGCATTTATAGAGGACTAAGGGAATTATAGAGTAGACCTAAGCCCTTTTTTGATTGCTTGCTGTGCGCAGCTCTGAGCTCTCAGCTGAAAGTAATGGATCATCAGCATCTTAAAGAATTTCATTATTTAAAGAGAAGAGCTCATTTCCTAGAACATATAGGGAAAACCCAGGTAGAATATTGCTAGAGATTTTTGAGACACTTGTTAACATTCTGGACCTGCTTCTTTTAAATTGTCTTACATAAGTGATGATTTATGGTTGATTTAGACGTTAACATGAGCCCTTAAAAGTCAGAGCACTGAAATTGTTCTTGGTTGGAGAATGAGTCAGAAACATGAAAGCAGGGGATGTACTCTCCCTTGGGTTGATTTGGAAAACACATAGAGTTCTTACTACTTTTTAATAAAGGGGTTTTCCCTCTTTGTGTACACATGTGGGCCTCAAAGTTTGTAAATGCCATTGGTAGGTGGCTTGTGCAGGCCTCTTTGTTTTGTGTTCTTTCCCCTTAGTTCTGTAGTAAGTGGAGTAAAGCATCTCATTACTTTTGCACAGAAAATACTAGAAGACTTAGAATTCTTGATTCCTGAAATGTTCATTTTTGCAGAGATTGGGGCAGGTGATGGCTTTTATGCTGGGGCAATTAATAGGGCAACTATTTCTTTCTGCTTATGGATATTTGTTAAACATTGGTGTTGTGCTAAGCTCTGTGTGAGACAGAGTGTGCTTGAGAAATTTTTATGCCTCATTAGATGAGTGGTGTTTGAACAGTGTCATGCAGTGTTTGATCCTTCTCTTTTCTAAATACATATCAGATTTCTGGGCTAATTTAAACCCTTCAGTTCATCAGAGCCCAGAAGGACTGTAAAAACTGGGAGAGTTAATATAAGTGGCTGAGTGGCTTTCACTTCATAGATCCTTGTGTGGAGGTGCTGTTGACTCTGTTCAGTTCTCAGCACAAGCTGTATATTAGAATCATTTGTGGAACTTCAAAAAAATGCCCATGCCTATGTCTCCCTCCAGACCTCCCAAATCAGAATTTGAAGATAAAGCCTGAGCCAAAGAAGTTCCCCTTTGGTTTTGATGTTAGGACAAGGGTAGCTTTCTGGTTGTTTATTACAGTAGTAGTACTGACACATAACTTCATTTCAAAGATAGAGGTAGCTTGGTTAACTAGGGAAAATTTATAAGGAAAGATCATAGATTTTAAAGGGTTTTTTATTGGGCCTGGGATTTAGCTTAGTGGTGCCATGCCTCCCTGGCAAATGCAAGGTCCTGAGTTTGATTTCTGGTTTTAATAAAAGGTTTTATTATTTAGTGTGAGTTTTTCTCCTCTCTTTTTTTTTTCTTCAGTGCTAGGGATTGAACCAGGTTTTCAGATACACTAGGCAAGTGCTCTTTTGTTGAGCTATATTCCTAGCCATTCTATTTTGAGACAGGGTTTCACTAAATTCAGGCTGGCCTTGAATTTGTAATCCTCCTGCCTCAGCCTCCTAGGTAGCTGGTGTGTGCCCCCAAGCCCAGTGTGGCTTTCATTTTGTTTATTCCAGTTAATCACAAAGTAATGCTTACTGTATACTTGGCAATCTTGGTTACTTGATTGTACTTAGAATCTAGTACAAGCTTTTTGCTTTGAGTCAGTTTTATTATTTATTGTAACCTAAATTTGTATTTTTTTAAGCCATAAAACTTTAGAAATTTTTATACTCAAAAACTGTTTATGCTTTAATTTTGTGTGTGGTAGATCTGGAATATGAAGACCACAGAATGTTCAAATACCTTTAAATCTCTGGGCAGCACCGCAGGGACTGACATTACTGTAAACAGTGTGATTCTGCTTCCTAAAAACCCAGAGCACTTCGTGGTGTGCAACCGATCGAACACAGTGGTCATCATGAATATGCAGGGGCAGGTGAGTACTCAGAAAGTACCTTTGCACAGAAGCTGGTCTAGCCTTCCCTGTAATTGTGTAAACAGCTTAAGGTATATTTACTTTTCAGACACTTGCTTAAATTATACCTCTATAAAACTTTTTTTTTTTTTTTTGTTGGTTTTTTGAGACAGGGTCTCACTATATAGTTGAGACTGACCTGGAACTCACTATGTAGCCCAGGCTGGTCTCGAACTCACAGCCTGCCTCAGCCTCCTGAGTGCTGGGATTACAGGCATGCGCCACCACACCCATCTTAAAACATCTTTTTGATGTTTTGAAATTATTTCCTTGCCCCAAGGGTATTTGTATATTATGCTGCATTTCATCCTTGGGATGAATGAGGCTCTGATGTACTTTCAAGCCTTCTGTAGAACCTCACTTTCGATTGTAAAGTAACAGTCTTTTTCTCTGTTAAGGAGATACAGGGTAGTATGGATTACCAATCCATAATATCTAGCTACCACATGGGTTAAAGTGGAACCCTAATGAGAGAAAGGCAACAGTGTCCTCATGGTCTGTATTTGTAATCAGGATCCCTGGAAGTTTCCCAAGGAATCTCACTTTTCGGTGAGACTGTGAGGTAGCACTGGGAACATAGAAACATCAGGATTGAGGTTTCAAGTTCTGAGTGTGTGCTGTGGCACTACTGAGATGCTGGCCTTGGCACTGGGGGATATTGCTGAGCATGGAGAAGACTCAGGGCTGGTGTGATGTATTCTGTCTTGTTTGAGTCCTGTGACTGAAGTAGTAGTAGTTGCGAACCCATAACTGAGAAGGTTGGTCTGCAGTATCTGCCAAGTCAGTGCACAGTAGCCATAGCTGCCCAGTGCATCTGCTGAGCACACTTACAGTTAGTTCTCTGCTAAAGATTTTATTTGGAAGAAAAATTTATTTTTATTTTTAGATTTTCTTTTGTTTGAGAAAATTTTATCACGTTGAAGTTGCAAGAATAGTACAGAGAGGTCCTGTGTACCCTTTTTCCAGTTCTTCTAATGCTAACATTTTAAATAACAGTAATATCATTAATAAAACTAGGAAATTGACATTACCACAGAATACTGTTAAATCAACTACAAATCTTATTTGAATTTCACCAGTGTTTACATGCATTTGTACATTTTTTTTAAAGGCAGGAATATAATAGTTTTTTAATATCATGTATATAAATTCATGTAAAATCTACAGTAATAATGCAGAACTATTCATTTCCAAAGGGATTTTCTGATGCTGTGTCTTTGTAATTCCACCTACCCATGGCCCTAATTCCCAGAAGCCACTGATCTTTTCCAGTATTACATTTTTTTTTTTTTTTTTT